TAAGTCAGTAGTGGCGAACCTGTGGCACAAGTGCCAGAGGTGGCACTCAGAGCCCTCTCTGTGGGCACGCGCAACGTCGCCCCAGTCCTAGGCCTTCAGCTGGGTTTTATAAAACCTTTTCGCTTTAGGCCTCCACTGCCGTGTGCAAAAAAAAAAAAAAGGTTCAATCAATTAGTCAATTTCAATTTCTAGGGGAAAAAAAGATCTTGCAAAGTTGGAATTGATTGAACTTTTTAGTCCCACTCAGTCTGCCATTACCAACGAAGCTATGCCCACCCAATGGGCCACGCCCACCCGGCACTCGATGATGCATAAGTGGGTTTTGGGTTGCAGTTTGGGCACTCAGTCTCTAAAAGGTTCGCCATCACTGGTCTAAGTGCTGTTGCTGTTGCCCTTCCTTCTATCCATCCATCCATGATGCCCAGTGGTTAGAATGCAGTATTGCAGGCTGACTCTGCTGACTGATCAGCTCAAGGCAATTGGTTCATACTTATGACCGTTGCCGTGTCACGTGATTGCTTTCTGCAACCTTCTGACAAGCAAAATCAATAGGGAAGCCAGATTAACTTTACAACCGTGTTACTAATTTATAAACTGCTGTGATTTACTAAGCAATGGAGGCAAGGAAAGTTGTAAAATGGTTCAAAACTCACTCAAATTTTTGGGCTCAATTGTGGCTGTAAGTCAAGGACTATCTGTATCACATCCCACTGCAATTCTCTTCTCAGAAGGCAGCTTTTGTCTCCAGAAATCCTGGCTGCCTTTCTCTGCCACCTGCTTCTGTTCCCTGAATCTTTCTTAAAATTCCACACTTGGAACCGGCAGTCGAGTCTCACCAAAGCAGGACACAGTAGAGCTATTGCTTTATGGGCTTTGAAAACTATACTTTTAATCACATTCTCCAACATGCTACATGATGCTACACGGCTGACCCACATTCAGTTTGTGGTCAGCTACAAATCCAGAATATTCCCTACTACTTTTACCAAGTCAGGAATCACTTCTCTCTTTGCATTTGATTTCTGTTTCTTGGCGAAGTGCTGCCTATTCATGTTCCTAGATTTCATTTTGCTATTTCAGATTAATTCTTCACCTGTTTATCTTCCCAGCCTATGATCTTCCCAAGGCCAGATACCCCTCTCCAGAGAGGCAGGCTGGACAATTGCAGGAAACAGGGTCCTTCTGGCGATGCTCTCCAATTTGCAGAACCTCATTTGGGGAACATTTTGGTCCTTTCAGCTTTAGCTGAACCCGTTTTTATTCCAAGCATTCTTTTAAAAAAAGGAAAGAAAGGCAAAACATTCAGAATGCTTTTTCAGCTTCTTGCCATTTTATTACCTGCTTTATTGAGTTTTTATGTGCTGTATTTATTGATACTCTTATTGCTTCTGATTGCATCTTGATGACCATCCTGTTTTCTGTCTTGATTCTGAGCCGCTGTACTTTGTATCATATATTTTTATTATCCAGCTAAGGTTACTTGGCAATTTAAAGCCTAACAAACAAGCAGATCAATAAAGGAGCCTGCTGATCCAGGGAGTCAATGTGGAGTTTTGAAGATGCAGTTTTTTGGAGAGGACACCAAGCGGAGAGTCGCAACCCAATTCCCATGGTCTCTTGGCCTCTGTTTTGAGAAACGTTTCAACAAGTCCCCAGGAAAGAATGAAAACTGTCAAGTGTCTTGCATAGCACCAGAAGGCTGGACAAAAAACAAGGGATGGAAACTAACCAAGGAGAGGAGCAACCTGGAACTAAGGAGAAATTTCCTGACAGTGAGAACAATTAACCAGTGGAACAAATTGCCTTTGGAAATTGTGGGTTCCCCAACACTGGAGTCTTCAAGAAGAGATTGGACAGCCACTTGTCTGAAATGGTATAGGATCTCCTGCTTGAGCAGGGGGTTGGACTAGAAGTCCTCCAACGTCCCTTCCAGCTCTATTCTGATTGATTCCAATCGAATCTCATGATCAGTAGCAAGTTTAAGATGGGTGGATTTCACTCTCCAAATTCCACAGCCAGCACGTGTAGAAGACTTTTCTGACAACAAATCCTTCCTGATCACAAATCCTGGCTTGTCAATCAGTGTGTGTGTCCATATGTGCAAAACATGCAACATGGTACACACCTCTGCTCTAGGAGGTGATGGTTCAATTCATGCAGGAATAATTAAGGGGGGAGCAAGGCCCCCTCCAAGGCTTACAGCAGGTATATCTCCTACTGGCCCCAGTGTGTTGACTGCACTCTCCCCACATCCTGAAAAAGCTTTTCTTCCCTCCAGAAGGAAAAATGTGGTCTGCATCTCTGCTCATGGGGTTCCTTAGATTCTGGGCAAAGCACCTCCTCTTCCAGCCCCAGGCACCTCCCTTCAGCCAGCTTCCTCTGCATTTATCCTTCCAGCCATTCCTCACAATAACACCCTCTGGGGGATGGATCTTGGGTTAGTCAGTTGCAAAATGATAAATCAAAATTTAGTTAACTGTTAAAGTGGGAGATGGTATGAAAAGAGAGTGATGTCTGGAATAAAGTACAACCAGTTTGATGAGGTTTTCTGCTTCCAACTAAGATGTATTTTTCTGCCCAGGTAACTAAAAACAAACTGCAATTCCACCTGGGAATTTCTGGCTTGGGGTTTGAAAAGCATTCGTTGGTCTGGACTCTTTTATCTTGAAGCCGAATGAAAGCAAAAACGCCATTATGGGTTTGTTGTTTTTGTTTTTAAAAAAGTATAAATGATACCTCCTCCCCTAGAAATTAATTTCCTCTATAGGTGATGAATAATTCAGCAGTTTGTTATGTGGACTATGTCCTGTGGGGAGGAAATGCTACATTAAAAAAGATCCCCTTGATCTAAATGCATCTCTTTGGCACAGGCTGCATGTAACGGTTTAAGCAGGACAGAAGTGCATCATTCTGGCTCCTGAGCAAATCCCTCCGAGTGGGATCCCTAATGGTGAGAGCCCCTCCGTGGTAACCTCACAGCTCAAACAGTGGCAAAGCAGAGAGATGGGGCAAAGGGGCAGGCGTGTCCATGGGGTGTTGTAAAACTGTCAAGCTGGCAGCTGAGACTACAATCAAAACTCCACCTCTTTTTGATACTAGCTTGATTAAGATGCATATAAAAGGGGTGGAGCCCGAATCTCACATTTGTCTCTTCAGTGCCATCTTTTGCTCAGCTCAATTCCTGCAGGCCGGTAAATCCTCACTTCAGATTTCTTCAGTCTGTCCATTAAACTGAGGTGTTACTGCCAATGATTTACAATCTCAGTTATGACATTATGCAAATGACTTACATTGACAGTAGACGCATACAAACAAACAAACATCTCCCCGAACACTCCCTGGATTTTGGCCTTGTCTTCTCCAATCCAGTCCTTAAAAGGAGCTGGGAGCGGACTGGCCGGGGCGTCTCCGCCTCTGGCCCCTGCGGAAGCTGCCCGGGTGGGGCCCTACATTCTGGGGCCTCCAGCCCGGGCTGCTCCAAGGCGCCGGCCCGGCTGCTGAGAGAAAAACCCCGAATCCCGCCTGCTTCTCCCCGCCGGAACGGCGGCTTGGCCCTCCGCGGCTTGCCTAGTCGACGGGGCGGAGGGAGGAGGTGGGCCCCAGGGGCACCATCGGGTCGTCATGCCAACCCGGCCCCGGCGTCCTTCCGTCGTGAGGCGAGGGCGCATCGTTTGAGCGAGATGGGGGCCCCCGCGCGGGCCCCCAAGCCGTCGCCTCGCAGCCCGCGAGCTCCTTGGGCTAGAACCGCCCTCTGGAGCAAACGGGGCGCCCGGCGAGCTCTCCGCTGCGGACTGCCGATCGCGCGCCGAAGTTTCCGCGTCCCGCAGTTGGCGGCGGCGCCCCTTCGCGGAACTCGCGAGTTCTGGCAACTTTGGGGGGAGCCGCCTGGCGCTGAGGGGCGCGAAGACTTTTCGGCGCGGAGCAGCCCCGGCAGGTGCCGCCCGAGGAGGGGAGGGGCCCGCGCGCCCCCGCTCTCGCGCGCCCAACGCAGCTGACCGGAAGGCGGGAGCCGGGGCGGAGGGCGCCGCTTCAGCCACCCGCGTCGGCCTGGCGGGGGGTGGGCGGCTTTCCTGCGGGTTGCTATGGCGGAGGCGGAGGGAGGAGGCGGAGGCGGAGGCGGCGGCCTCCTCGGTCTGCCTGCGGCGCGGAGAGCAGCTCTTCGCCGGCAGCTTCCAAGAAGGCGGCGGCAAGCAAAGGCAGCCCCGCCCCGCCCCACCCGCCCAGCCGCTGCCGGCCCCGGCTCCCCTCGCGCCCGGCTCTTCCGCGCAGGGTCCTCCTCGCTCGCGGCTCGTCCGTCAGGCACGGGAGCCGGGCGGCCGCTGGCCATCGACGACGCCGGTGGAGGAGGCAGACCGGGCACCGGCAAGATGCGCGGCGCCTGAGCGCTCGGCTGGGACCAGCGCGGACGGCGGTGCGCCTCACCCAGGTAAGTGGCGGCTCCGTTGCCGGGTCCGGCCCGGCCGGCTGCGCTCGCTGCCCTGTCCCGGCCGGGACGCGTTCGGCGGCCAGAGGGCTGTCCGCGGGGCCTGCGGAACTCCGCGCGACAGCTCGCCACGCCTGGCCCCGGGGCTGGGGAAGTCTCCGTTGCGACGGCAGCCCTCGAAGCCAGCCACGGGTGTTTTGGCGGCAATTTCGCGCCTGGGGGGGGACCAGGGCGCCTCGAAGCCGGGGAGGCTTCGGAAGAAAGTTTTTCGCCTCAGCAGAAGGGGGGGCGGGCACCACGGGAGCTAAAATCTCCTGTCAGAGGCGCCCAGCCTCCCGTTTCGCGGGCCGGCCTGCCGGCCGAGGGTGTGGCGGGTCTTCCTCGGCTCCCAGTCCGGACCCGGGAGCTGACGGACCCTTGTTTCGACCAGCTCGGGGTGGGCTCGGCGCGGACCGTCGGGAAACACTCGGCCGGCCGGCCGCGTCGGACCGTCTTGCCTCTCAGTCTCTGGGTCGGAGTTGGGCGTTGCGGGTCCAAATTCGGGGACGGGGCGGGGCGGACGGGATTCCCTAAGGCCTCCAAGACGCCCTTAAGCATCCGCTCTTGGGGCTTGAGAAGGCTTGGGAGGCACCGGTCTCACCTTGGAGCCGGCGTCCCAGTCTGACGGCCGGTCGATTGCAGGATGCGTGTCCCGCAGGTGTAGATGCCTTCGCTCTGGGCACTTAGTTGAGTTTGCCCGGTGAAGATCTATCGGATGCTACCGGAATCTGATGTGGTTGAATGTGGTTGCGTTATTTTTCCAGTTTAGCATATTGTGTGAACTCAGGCTGGTTGGCCGCTACCTAACTCAGTATATTGCACAAACTTAGAAAATGGATTGACAGGACAACTGGATAAGGCTTGTCTGAATGCAGCCAATTAATCATTGGTTTAAATTAAATGTGGGAAGAATTGACTTAGAAGCCCCTGTTTCCTTTGCTGCGAGGCTAGAGAAGAATGGGATGGCAACCAGTTGATATTAGGAGTTTGTTGATAAGTCAGTTCTGGTCTCCTCTGTTGGCCTTACTCCTGAGGAAGCCTGCTGCATTGCTTCAGAAATCCAGGTATGATAGTGAATGTATTGAGCTATTTATGTATGGTTTTTTTTACCTTGAAATGTTTGTTTACCCAAACACCACGGTGTGTCTTAAGTACTTTTTGTTAAAATTAAAAATATATATATATTTTTTTTTTAAAAAAGAAATCCAGGTATGATTAGGCACAGACTTACTGAGGTCTGTTCAGTTTCCATGATTTAATTTCTCATTCAGCCTTCTGAATCAGAAGCTGCCTCTGAAGGCTCAACTTGTTGAAAGCAATGGGTGCAGTGTTTTAATCAGCCTCTGTTTTTCGGCAGTGCACTTTATGAAAAGTGCATTCCGAATGCCAGGAGTAGTGCCCAGCTGGGCATGTGCCAGTGGGAAGTGCTCCTTTGCCAACTTTGTGAAACTGATTAGGAGCAAGGTGGATATTTTTAAGTGCCACTCAGTGCTTCCCTGCTTTCTTCCATTTGACTTTATGCTGAGAGGCCTTTTGCAGAAATGCAACCTAATTGTTGCACGCTCGTCACATCTCATTTTAGCCTTTTCTGTTGTGTACATCCAGCCCATATTTAATGTTTCTCAACTTTTCATGTAAGCCCCAAAAAAACGGGGCCATTTGATTAAAGGGTGATTCAGTTAACTCAATACTTCCCAATCTCAGATGTGTGGATTTCAACTCCGAGAATGCTGGCTGGGGAATTCTGGGAGTTGAAGTTATCACATCTTAAATTTTCTGAGGTTGAGAATCAGTGAGTTAATCAAAAGCAGCTCAGGTTTATCTACCCAATGATCATTTTTATAACCCTATGCAATGTTCTAACGGGCCACTTCCTGATCCTCCTAAAAAAGTGTCCCAGGAGGCAGGAATAGACTTTCCCCATGTTTGGTAGAAATCTGTGTGAGGATTTGGAGACAGCCCAAGTGGAAAGAACCTAAAGGGTAAGAAAAAAGCTAAGGCGGCCTATTCCTTTGATGTTTCTCTATACATCTTTGCATGATCTGATAGTAAGGGAATCAATGCTCATTGGCTAATCCAATTAGTGATTAATGGGTTGAGTGAAGGAGGTTTACTCACCACTAGAAGTTCAAAGATGCTCAACAGGGTCCTTTGGGGAAAGTGTAAGGATGTGTACATGATCCAAATGTGTTTATCACAGGCTGCAGATTCTTGCAAGATTTATACTCATCAGGTCATAACAATGAAGTCATTGTTTGAACCAGAAAGACTCTAAATATTTATCTGTCTGGAACAGAGGTTGGGTGCCTCTCCATAATCGCCAGCAGACACACTGGCTAGTGACCATAATTTTAAACAAGCTGCTGCACCGTCCATGGTCCGTCTTACCCTCTCCTCCTATGTTGTCCTCAAAGCTGACTGTTACAGTATTGCATCATAGACAGCATGTAATTGTTGGGAAGGGTATTGGCTGAAATACTATCTCTGAACTTTTGACAGGCCAAACTCAAATACTCTCCTTAAAAATTGCAAATCAATATGCACTTTCATAAGATTAAAAATTATATTTGTATCTGATGCATTATGGCACCGTTTGCAAATCCAGAGAATTATGTTGCATTAAAAAATCCCTGCCCTGTTAAGGCTACTGCGTTCTTGAAAGCTATCAGTGTGACTTTCGTTAGCATGTCAGAAGTCCATAATGATGGCAACATTATGAATGGAACCGAAGGATGGAACCATGGTCTTTAGATAATCATGGGTATAATTTCATTCTGAAGCAGACAATTTCTGCAATTTGGCAATCTTCAAGAAAATTGCTAAGTCTGTTTTTGTTTACAAATGGTATATTCTGAATGCACAGTGCATATATTAAACCTATTTAAATTTAGTATTCTCGTGATTACAGAACTAAAATGGAACACGCTTCTATTGTCCTTAGTATAAATGAATTTATTAAGGAATGAATACCATTTTTCTGAGGACAAAAAGGTTTAAAGTAAAAAGAATACAATATAATCCATAACTGTTGGAAGCCTATTTCATCAACGCTGATTCTAAAATATTTTTTAAAAAGAGGCAGCAGAGCAGTTCCTGCAACCCTTGAAGGTCAGTCAGTCCCCATCCTCTGGCACACTTTGAATTGTAATTTTTGGTGTCTCAAATCATGGATGCTTGGATGTCCGTCCAAGGTCCATTAGCACTACATGGATCCTGAAGAACCATGATCCTTTTTTGTTTCTAGGGACCTTAATGGGAAGATACGTTGTAGCTGACTTTTGAGATAAACAAAGAGTTTCCCATGTAGATTTGACTCAAAACTCTTTTCCCTTTGAGAGGCGCCTTTTCATGAGTGAGGTGATTCCTCTGATCTTGGTGCCCAAATGGGATTTGGACATGTCAGCTTGCAATTAGACTCAGCTGCATCCTGCTCTCCATCCCTGTGCCAAAAGATATCGGCTAGAAGGTACATTTGACCTCACTGGTTCTTTATGCACAGTATTTGTTCATAAAATGTGCCAAAATGTGTGGACCAACTCTCAGAATTCTTACACAGTTTATTTTGGCAGCTATGTCCATGGATGGAGATACACAGTAGATCTGATACATAACAGGTATAGCCCAGATTATGACCAGCCATATCCTTCAGGAGAGGCAGCTTTTCTTTGGGGATATTTGCTTCTGTTTAATCTCAACCAGCTGGAACCAGTTTCCTGGAATGGTGCAGGATTGATTTCCTTCAAAAGTGAACCCCACTTACCTATTCTGGCTAGGGCGGCCATTTTGCTCTTCTTCTGCCTTTGGTTCAAAGCTTTGTCTGGATCGTGGTTTTGCAAGATTTGCTCCTCCCGGATCCTTCCCTCTGGTTCCTTAGTGACCTCTTTGGACCTGCTCCAGCTGCTATTCCCCACTGGATTCTGACTGACTCTGATTCCGTAGCACCTGACCTGATGCAAGGCAAGCAGAGATAAATCTGGAAGATGCGCAATTTGCATTGATGCTTGATTTGTAATATAATCCATAATTCTTTATTTGATTTCTTTCTATCCATTTATTACCAGTTAGTCTTCTCAGCCAGCCGCCTCCTGCTGTTGCCTTCATCGAAGTTGCCAAAAGTGGAAGCTTTTTGGCAGCTTCTCAGAAATCTTCCACCTGCAAACCCTACTGATTTCTTTATATGTGAATTTATAATATAGAGCTAATGTAACTGAGTGTGGTCTGAAATTCTGCTGAAAAATGGAGTCCTGATGTACAAGCAGAGTTTGCTTTCAGGCTTTGCCCAGATGTGCCTTACAGGTTCTCAGATGCATTCACCCTTCATGAAGGTTTCTGCTTTTCTGCCTCTTTCTGTTTTAAAGTTCTTTTAAAGGGCTTGGAAAGAGTTCCTGGAACTGTGCAACTCAGGACGGCCCAGGGCTACAATCTGACTCCCTTCCCACTTTCTTTCCATCCCGTGTCTTTTTCCCAGGAGGAGAAAAAGCAGCTATTTGCAGGGTGGCAGCGTTGCTGCCATGTAATTACGCAGGTCTCTAAAATTTATGACTTGTAGCTGCTGGATACCGACATATAGACTGATCCGGCTAAGTGAGAATCTCCTCCTAAACACAAATGTATTTTGACATTTAATTTGAGAGAGACTGGTGGAGTTATTCTGGCATATATTGGCCCCCAGTTAACTGGAATATCTGAGGCAATTTTTTTATGGTGTTCGGGGTCAGGCTACAACTGTGCAGAAACCTCCAGCAACTGTTCTATTTGACAGTTTGGCTTGGTACATTTTTTCGCTTTTTTAAAAATATGCCTCAGAACAGCAGGCATTTTGGGTCAGGGAGGAAAAAAATACATCTGAAGCGAGAGTTGACCAGACTCTGAAGAGCAGGAGAAGAAGGTCCCAGTCAAATAAAGGATGTTTCATCCTTGCTAGCAAGAAATGGGTTCTGGCACAATTGCACTTTCTTGTTCTCGGAGAAGCTCTCCTGTTTCCCAGTGAGTGCTGAGCATCACCCTGGATGCAGGGAGTCTAAGCCCAATGTGGGCTCATGTAGGCACTCCATGGAGGGCATCCCTTGGGGATGGGCCATTCTCACAGCCTCTACAGCAGGAGGATGACTGTGGGGAAGGTGCAGCAAAGTTATGCTCCACCCTGAAGTATGCTGGAAAAGAGAGGCTGTGGGAATATCTTGCTCTGTATGTGGGGATCAGAGCATTGGATTCCGTCCTTTATCCCACTCACAAAGTACTGTTTGCACTACCCTGGCAGGCCCTGCATGCAGTTGGAGGAACCATTGACCACTAAGAAATTTTCCTAGATTGGAACAAACCTGGCCAAATCCTTCCTCTCTTGGTTCATTTCTGCCTCATCAGTTCCCTTCGTCTCTGGAGATTTGCTCTTCATTCTAGGAAAGAGATGGGGACAATGGAACTTTTATGACTTGTGGAATTCAACTCCCAGAATTCCTGAGCCAGCTATTCTGGGAGTTGAAGTCCACAAGTCACAAAGGGGCCATTGTCCTCACCCCTGTCCTAGGCGGAGACCTTGAAAAGTTCCGAAAGCATGGCTTTCCCAGTTAACTGGGCCAAGGCTTGAACATATATGCGGATCAGGAAAGGAGGAAGAGTCTACAGTGGAGCTCATGCGTGGGGCTTTTCCCACATCAAGAAGTGCATCCTATATATATGCGAACATGAGTGGATCTTTCAATATTCTAGCCATGATCCTCTGAAAGTTTGATTCCTTCATAACCAACCACAGGCTTTAGTGGGGGAGGAAGGTATACCTTGGATAATTAACCCTCCAGGATGCCTAATCAATACCAGGCCAGTAATGCTGAATAAAAACAAACTTATGACAAATATATAAAAGAATATTATCACGCCCTGTTTTGTCCTCTCTTTCTGGCATCTGAAAATGTATTGTACACTTGTTCCTAGGGTGAAAAATTTAGACAGCTCCATAATGGAAGGTCAGAGATTAATTATTTATGGAGGGACATCAATCAGCCTGTGGAGATGATTTATTTATAAATTCCAGAGCTGTAAGTGGAATGTGAATTCTGATTTTGCC